TTAACATGTATAGCTTGGGGGATATAATAGAAACATTTAAATACATAAAGGGAATCGACACAGTAAAGGAGGAGACTATAAAAGAAGAAAAACTACCACAACAAGAGGACATAGTCTTAAATTAGCGGGGCAAAGGTTTAAAAATAATATCAGGAAGCAGGGCCGGACTGGGAAAAAAATTAGGCCCGGGCATTTTTCAATTAGAGCAGCCCCCCAAGAAGGGGGCGGTGCCAGAAAGGGTGTTTTTTGTCATCACTAATGACAAGCACACCCCCTCTCAAAGTGAGCATGTTGGTTCAATGTGCAGAGGCCCGCTGAAGAGCTCTGGCTTTAGAAAAAGGCCCTGTATTTGTTCTGCGCAGCGCAAGCAAATGTAATAACATGCTTGCACTGTGTTTGCTTTTAAATTGTCTCTGGTGTCTCCACAAGTGGGATACCAGAGGACAAAAGGGCCAGGAAAGTGTATTGTGCATGTGTTTGGCGCCTGCTTGTGGGATTGCCTGTGTGTAGAGTGTGGTGTGGTATTGTGTAAATAGGTGTAATATGTGTTGCTAGGGGCTGTAGAGAGTGCGTGTATAGGGGCATAGTGTTATAGGGGATGTAGCGAGTGTGTGCATACGGGCAGTAGTGTGTGTGTATAGGTGACGTAGTGTGTGTGTAGGGGTTGTAGAGAGGGTGTGTTTAGAGAATGTTGTATGTGTTTGCTTACAAGGAATGTAGTGTGTGTGTAGGTGGTGCACTGTGTGTGTGTAAGAGATCTAGTGTGTAAAGGACCCAGAGTGTGTATAGAAGATTGTGTGTGTGTGTGTGCAGAGGATTAAGAGTGCATATAGGGTAAGGGATCTAGCGTGTATCTGGAGCGTAATGTGTGTAGTGGTGCAGTGTGAGGGGTGCTGTAGTGTGTGTGTGTGTGTATATATATATATGTATATATGTGTGCTATGTGTGTCTCTCGGTGTGCTGAGTGTGTCTGGGGGTGCTGTGTGTGTCTGGGTGCGCTGTGTGTGTCTCTGGGGTGCTGTGTGTGTATCTGGGGGTGCTGTGTGTGTCTGGGGGTGCTGTGTGTGTATTGGGGGTGCTGTGCGTGTGTCTGGGGGTGCTGTGTGTGTATCTGGGGGTGCTGTGTGTGTATCTGGGGTGCTGTGTGTGTGTGTCTGGGGGTGCTGTGTGTGAGTTGGCTGTGTGTGT